TGTCACTGAGCAGTATAAAAAACATGATGCAATGGTCAAATGTTTATTGGTCTTAGACATTAGGGGAATTATCAGAGCATGGGTCTTATTTTGAAACTCCTGCCAGAGCAACTGCACAAATCATAAGGAAAAATTAACAACTTCTAAGGATGGTATTCTCAGAATAGCACTAGTTGTTCATGACACTATACAGAATTTGTATTTAACATGCGTGTATACCCGTCGATTTGGTCCCTTATCGAACACGACGCATATCGACGACTGTGGACATGTTCAGACATGAACATGAACACCTGCTCACTAACATTTATTATCCACTGAAATTAGAACTAACAAAATCCGCCACCAACAACAATACATTCCATGATCAATGATGTATGTATAGCTGGAGCCGTGCGTGAATATCGGTAATTCGGTATACAGTGCGACTAGATCAGTGACGGCGGCACGGGGGGGGGGGTTGATGTAGAAGGGCCGAAAGAAATGTTGGGGGCATCGCCCTCTAAAATCAAGCTGAAGCTCTTTGTGTCAGTAACATTTTCCCCTCAGATTGCAGGAGATAGCGTTTTAGGAGGTCTAGATTTCAAAATGTTTAAGGAGGAGCATGCCCAAGACTCCATAGGAAGGTCACGTGATCTCGTCCATCCATGCAAGATTGCGTGTCGCCGCCTCTGTAAGTGGTGTTAGGTGGTGGTTGGGTAAACATACGAAGTTTGTCAGTGCCGATTAGCAACCTAAACCGAGGTCATATATTGTGCTGTTCAATAGCACTTGGCCTTGAAAGCGTTTCTCTCCTAACAAAACATTAATTTGAGCTGAATGTGTGACGCAATAATGTATGCAAAAATAATGACCAAGCTGCAAAAGATGTCCGCTTTCACGCAAAATCTTTCATTTGATTGATTGCCTGTATTATATGCTACTGGACACAACACTGAAGTATTGAAACGAATGTTGTAAACAAGACTGACCGATCGATTGGAGTTCATTACGGGCAAATGCTTCCAAGTATCTGGATGAAAACACACAATAACACAACTGACTTGGTCAACGCAAGGATACTATTTCAATGGATTAAACTAAAACGTAGCCATGGTGATTAACATTCCTGAACGTAGTGTGGGGTTTCCCCACGCTAAACACGTTCATTACGCCTCGGTTTATATTGAAAGACATGATAATAGGAGCAGTAATACTCGTGACAATAAGTCTTGGGCAGTTTTCATGAAACTACGTCAACGCTAGTCAAAATTACAATAAATTGATAAAATACATTATATTTAGGATAACTATACGTTTGTTTCATTACGGCGATGTTTAAAAATTACTAGTAATTTTATCACTATACCGATATTGCAATCACTGATAATTACCAAATCATAACACAGGTATGACCAAAACAAATAAAATGTTACCACATGGTTTATATGGAAAGTATTATTGAATTATGTGAGAAAAAGCAACATATCCACCTTTTAGTTGAAATATAAAGGAATTATGGCGTAATCTTTCAATTCTTACCTGAGAATATTGCCGCGTCCCTCTCCTCATATCCAGTACGTAGTCCACCATCGATCCACGTTTGGCGATTTCTCGTGTATGTTCTATATAACTCAGAGCTGCAAACGTTGTCTGTTTCGTCTTCTCGTGTCTACCAAGCGCCTTCCGCTGCAACAGTGCTATTTTACCTAAATTCCTTGCCAAAGTATCCTCTTCCTTTTGATTTATCAGTCGCATATCTGCTTCGTCGAATCGCACACTTTTCAACGTCCTTTCCCCGCCCGACATGGCAGTCCCCCGCAATGTTGACCGCATTTGTTAAAAATCCCAAGACTGACTGTTACTGTTTTCCTTCGCAGAGAATTAACCTTACACTAGTACCATCATGTTTCAGTCACATTCATTGGAACACAATGTAAATTGTACGTCTAAATCCTCTTTGTTCATGTAGGTTACTCCAATCCCGTGCCAATATATCGGAACTAACCTTGGATTTGGAAACCAGATGCATAATCTCCGAAGGCCACAGTGGATAACAGTTGTATATATCGTATTTGGAGAAAATGTAGACACATCGAGATGAAAGAAAACTTCTTGACTTACTTATCAGACTAATACCTTGGAAACAGCGCTGGAGCATACAAGACTAAACGACTCGTTTATTAAAATAGTATCAACGTCGTTTTGGTTCAATCACAAAGAGTGTCATTCAAACAATGCGTACCAGGACATTCAAGAAAGACTCGCGTAGTATATTTCTCTTTGTATCTGTTCCAAGCTCAACAACTGCTATCGAGCTGAGAAGAACGGTTGAATCATCATATATCTATGGGATTGGTTAGTTTACTGCTAAAAACAAGTTTTCTTCAGATGCAATGCCAGATAGCGAACATTGATTCGACCGTTATAAACAAAGACGAAACACGCACGAATTGGGTAGTAAGCTTGTGGAAAATAGGAAGTTGTAGCTCTTGTTAAGACAATAAGACGATGTCCTTGTTATCAAATCAGATTACGAATCAAATACACATGGAACTTAACATCCGACAACATACCTTTCTGTTGCGAACACCTGTAACAAACCCCGAGTAGGCTGCCCTCCGTGATAAAGTTGATGATATATAACCTTGTCATATTTGAGGCATATTCAAGACCTGATTTTGTCGCGTTGTTCCAGATTAAAAGGTCATGTATTTAGGAACGCTCTATCCAACAAAACGCCACGTGATCTTACCATCCACCATTCAGATAATGCAAAATACGTACTTAAAAATAGTCTTCTTAGCTCGGTTTATAGTAGCGCTTGATCACAGCTATGCAAACGTCAAAAATAATGTTTTATTCAGTACCTCGATACCACTCTCAAGGGATAGAGAGTGTATGCACCCAAAACAAATTAGGCCACGCGTTTTTATATACCACCAGCGGCGACTGGCTAATTACATGACCCACTCTGCCCTATTGAATTCCAATTGTTGGAGACGGGTTGTTATTGAGTTTCTGAGTTCTTATCAAATAAACTCGTTCATTGAATATATGTTTAATAGACATGCGCTTTGTGATTGTCCGATAAGCTGTAAGATTCACAATAAAGTCATGGAGCAACAAACGTATATCACTGTAATTGTATACTTTTACGAGAAGAATACTAGTATAACTAAAACAAAATTGGTGTTCGGGTTTTGAAGAATACAGAGAGAGAGAAAACACGGCAATGAAGTAGTAAACTAGTAACGAATATAAAACAACCACTTGAAGCTACAGGTATACTGAAACCATGGTAACAATCAACAGGTGTTTACCCTGATCACATTAATGAGAACAGTTATCAAGTTGCTGTGGTAATAAATCGATCATAATCTTGCGGCCAGCCTTGGACTTGAATATCAGTAGTATAATCCAATAATTCATAGGTCATACAATATGAACGTGAATGGTGTCATGTCTTTTAAAGATACAGGTAGTGTCGATTTGTGTGTGTGTGTGGCCCAGTTCACCCACAGTTCGCCCACATGCACGCGACTCGTTTCTATAAACTCCGTATGATCTGTGACAAGATTTGGGTTAGGTCTAGTAAACATTCTGAGTGCCTAAACTTCCCTTTATGAGTAGTGCAGCTTATATTTGGAGATAACGCAAAATACACAGAAAAAGGGTAAAATCATATTTCGCTATGCAGACTGAGGACAGGCAGAACAAACCTGTCAGTTTCCAGACTTTATTCAGATGAGCAGTAGCAGACATTCAACTCATCTCAAGGGCTGCAAATACATGTTCTCACGATAAAACAAAATTCTTTCCTGGGCAGTTGACTCAAGGGAACATGTACATGACATTCGATTTAAAGTAAATGCCTTCACCTTCCAGGTGAGAGTAGAAATAAGGGTGCCTATGCAGGGAATTTGCATTCAAGCCAACGATTTGGCTTTCTAGATGAGCAGTAGAAGCAAGGATAATCACTTGTGTCTGCTGACATCAACATATTGTCACGGAAGTAATATAAGGTATTTTGCTTACACGTCGTATCAAGTTGTTTTCAGAAATAGGAAAAACGATGAAAAACAGCTAAACACGAAATAGTGAGTGTTCGCAAATTTGAGAAGCTCGGACTGATCATATTAATGATCGTGAGATTAAAAATGGGTTCATCACGAACACACCTAGTGCCTACCCAACGACCCTTCCGCCGATAATCATGACATTCTGCGCAGACTAATCTCTTAAAAGTGTGAACTGAAAATAATAATACGATATTTTTCTTTCATTAAATGTAACGTCACGATGCTGAGTGAAGATACACACTAGGAACTCAAAACGTTTTCACGATCATTCCCTTTTGTATATTTGCTATTTTCAAGTAATTTTTTATTTTATTACAATAACACTTGCGAAATATTTATCGTAAAATAAGTGTTTTGACAACATAGCAAGAGGAATTAATGAAAACGATAATACGCATGCGTCGCACATTAACTCAAAATACAGCTTATTAGAAGCGTTTTAACTATTTGATGTACCGAAGTTTGCCATGTTTTTTAAAAATAATTTACGTTTTATATTTGTTGATACCAAACTGATGGCGAATTTAACAATCAATAAAACAAGACTAGAGAGAGCGTATTTTTGAAATTCGGGCTACACATATTCGTTCCGAATTGCAGGGAGAAAGGCACATTCCTTTAAAATAGGCATGTTCTCAGAAACTAAAAAATGGGTACCCATAGACGTGCAGCATTGTTTTCTGATATTGTTCAGGATTTATAACCTGCGCAAAATAATTTTTTTTCAATTCTTCCATGGACCAGAGTAGCTAATGACAAGCAACTAAGTAATGTGTTGTCCTACTGTCAATTTACTCGAAAATAAGCGAAATTCACAAATTAATGTTGTCAAAAAGTGTTTTTATTAACAGGGACACATACATTCATTTTGAATACTAGTAATAATGAACAGCAGCAAACGACCGGTTCTTGCCAACTATAGTCACTACGTATGCGCGCAAAATGCAAAGTGCGACCTCTATAATACAACTAAACTTTTGACACTCATATATTCAATGAGTAATGCTTTTATGGATCCTGGCGAATTGCACCACATCCATATATCTATGACATATGCACGACAAGTGGCTATCTTTGTTACACTTTCTCAAACTTGTCATTGAATCTACATTGGCGTCACTACCATGTACATGATAGTTGAGTGTCTAATTCAACAGGTTGTTTACTGACAGGCAATGACTTCACTGCCTACTAACTGACACGTAGATTACCGAAACAAACGTAAAACCTCAACAAATTGTTCATTGTTAGCCAAGGTCCAACCAAATGTATCACAATTCACACAAGGTCTGAGAATTAATTGGTTACCTACCCTATTCGTTCTAAATAGGACATTTTTAATTCCATCTGATGTGAGCACTAGTGTGGTTCAAATTATTAAGTTCGCCCTTGGACAAAGTTATTTTAAAATAGAATTGCGATATGCGTCAACCTGTCCCACCTAGTGAGCAGGTGCAACAATAATGAACAGCACCATCTAAATACAAAGCAAAACATTTTCATCGTTGACGAAAAATACGTACAGACAAACCTGTCCTACCCACATAATCTTATCAACGATCGTTGACGCGTCACGTGCGCCCTGTTGTATTTGGATGGCGAGTTTCGGCATGTTGTGAGAATTGACGTATTTCGAAAAAATTCAAAACGATTTGCGCATGAAATTGTATCAATTTTAATACGAGTATGGCTGATAAAGTGACCGAATTCTCTGCCCTTCGTTTTCTGCATCTACCCTTTGTTGGCGGTCTTTGTCGTCTTTTAAGACTTTCACAAAATTATCGACTTTCGTTTGCAACTTTTTGTTCTCAGCTTCTCTGTGTTTAGACTTTTCTTTCATAATTTTTGCCCAAATTGCGTAGCGCTTATTTTCTACCTCCAAGGCGGAAATGGCGTCGATGTGCGCGAGAGCTCTTAGCTGTCGCCGAGATCGACCCATTAGGTACATTGACCTATGACTCACAAGAGTCGGAGAAAATTCATCATCGCTTGCTTCTGAATCCCGATTTTGTGTCAAACTTTTTCTGGATCTTGGGGTTTTTCGATGCTGACAGCTACGTGCCCTTCTTTTCACGATGGCTTCAAGTTCCTCGGGCGTCGGGAGTACTTTGTATTTTACATCCGACGTCGACTTGGGTCGAGATTTCGGAGCTCCTTCGCTTTTTTTGGAAAATGTTCGAGTCTTTGGTCTCACGTGGCGATATCCCAGCTTTGACTCGTCATCGCTACTGTCCGACAAAACCATGGTCTTGAACGAGGACGTTGACAGTAAACGGTAACCAATCTGTGAACGCATCTGAAATCAGAACCAGTGAATGATCAGTTGTTTAAATATCGTGAATTGGTTTGGAACATTATGAGAACATATTTCACATATCCACAACGCGGTACTCGACCATTTTGAAATATAATTAACATCGGAGTAATGAAGGAAACATTCACGGATTAATAACCAGCATAAGTGTCATAAAAAAAAACTACGACGTCGTACTCACCATATCTGGAGAGTTTATATGACTACGGTGATGGGTGTCAGTGGTTTTTGTTCGAGTGGAGATTGCTGCCTCGGCTGTCGCAATCTTTGCCATCTCTTTCTGTACCTGATAATCTTCCATCTTTTTCTGAACGCTCCATTTCTCACTTTTAAAGTCCGAAAACGTTTTATACTCTTTAATATGCAGATTTTGAACTGCTTTCCGCAAATTGTTGTCGGCTTTCTTATTCTCCAATTTGGCATGGCTGGCATCAAAATGAATTGTTATTTTAGGCTTAGGGTCGTCATGGAGACGGTTGTTTGTTAGAAAATCTACTTTTCCCTTGACTTGTGGCATGGTGCTGACGTCACGGACTCTCGTCACATATGTTACTGTCAATTAAACGTTTTTATTCACAACTTTTTTGTGACTATTCTTCTACAACTTGAATATACCAATACTACAGAATAAACAAATACGTTTCTGGTCAATGACTTGCAACCTTATCTATGACATTTCGCATGCAGCTACATTTGCGGACGAGAACAAATTCCATGACGCTGTGGGATTTGTCTAAACCGAACACATTCAGACGCTGTGGGATATGTCTAAACCGAACACTCCAGATGCTATGGGATTTCTATAAACCGAACACTCTAGACGCTATGGGATCTGTCTAAACCGAACACTCCAGACGCTATGTTATCTGTCTTAACCGAACACTCCAGACCCTGTGGGATCTGCCTAAATCGAACACATCCAGACGCTGACCGATCTGTCTAGAACAAACACATCCAGACGTTTTAGATATGTCTAGACCGAACACATCCAGACGCTGTGAGATCTGTCTAGACCAAACACATCCTTACGCGTGGGGTATGTCTAAACCGAACTTTCCAGACGCTATGGGATCTGTCTAAACCGGACACTCCAGACGCTATGGGATCTGTCTAAACCAAACACACCAGATCCTATGGGATCTGTCTAAAACGAACACATCCAGACGTTTTGGGATCTGTCTAAACTGAACACGCCAGACGCTATGGGATCTGTCTAAACCGAACACATCCAGACGTTTTTGGATCTGTCTAAACCGAACACCCCAGACGCTATGGGATCTGTCTAGACCGAACACATCCAGATGCTGTGAGATCTGTCTAGATCGAACACATCCAACGTTGTGCGATCTGTCTAGAACAAACACACCCAGACGTTTTGGATATGTCTAGACCGAACACATCCAGACGCTGTGAGATCTGTCTAGACCAAACACATCCATACGCGTGGGGTATGTCTAAACCGAACACTCCAGACGCTATGGGATCTGTCTAAACCGAACACTCCAGACGCTATGGGATCTGTCTAAACCGAACACACCATATCCTATGGGATCTGTCTAAAACGAACACATCCAGACGTTTTGGGATCTGTCTAAACCGAACACGCCAAACGCTATGGGATCTGTCTAAACCGAACACATCCATACTTTTTTGGATCTGTCTAAACCGAACACCCCAGATGCTATGGGATCTGTCTAGACCGAACACATCCAGATGCTGTGAGATCTGTCTAGACCGAACACATCCAGATGATGTTAGATATGTCTAGACCGAACACATCCAGACGCTGGTCGATCTGTCTAGACCAAACACATCCATACGCGTGGGGTATGTCTAAACCGAACACTCCAGACGCTATGGGATCTGTCTAAACCGAACACTCCAGACGCTATGGGATCTGTCTAAACCGAACACACCAGATCCTATGGGATCTGTCTAAAACGAACACATCCAGACGTTTTGGGATCTGTCTAAACCGAACACGCCAAACGCTATGGGATCTGTCTAAACCGAACACATCCATACTTTTTTGGATCTGTCTAAACCGAACACCCCAGATGCTATGGGATCTGTCTAGACCGAACACATCCAGATGCTGTGAGATCTGTCTAGACCGAACACATCCAGATGATGTTAGATATGTCTAGACCGAACACATCCAGACGCTGGCCGATATGTCTAGAACGAACACTCCCGAACGTTGTGGGATCTGTCTAGAACGAACACATCCAAACGTTGTGGGATCTGTCTAGACCGAAGAAATCCAGACGCTGGGAACATAAATGTTGCACATGTGCGGCGACAGGGACAGTGCCGGGACATATATTTAATGATTTAATAATCATACATTCATTCTATGGTTAAATATTGAATATACATTGGGTTTTAACTTTACCACAATTAGTTAATCAGCAAAATACGCAAAAATAAAACAAACTGTATAAACTATATAGTATGTGCGAAGCTATTAAGTATCTTTAACGCATCTAGTCGAATCATTTTACCTAGTTAAATAAATTCATCTAGTTTTTAGGTTTTCTCTACATCATTTATTTTCATGAAATGTTTAGTCATTTCACATTTAGAAACAAATATCGTTTATGCATTATGAAAAGCCACATTCTGAACATTCATTTTGCTAGACAGAACTATCATAAAACCAAAAAACACTACATCAAATTAATTAGAGATAAGAAAAAAGAATTAAAAAAAAACATGATCAATCATCTGGAACAGCTCGAGGTTACAAACCAGAATGAATATTGGTCAGTACTTAAAAAGTTACGTTGTCCACAAAACAATAACACAACAGAACCTATTCTAACAAGTAGCGTTTTGACAGATCACTTCAGTAAACTTTATAATAACATAAATGTCAAAAATATAAATCTTGAGGAAACATTACTGGAAAAAGAAAAGGAAAAACATTATAACTCTACATTGAATTCAAAAATAACAATT